GTACATAAATCCACAGACTCTTCAGATTTGGAAAACTGCTTCATGGTTTTCAAATAGACATTTTCTACTGCTTACTAAAATGTACCTAATTTATTCATTTAACAAATATTTACTGAATGCCTGTTCTGTCCCAGGCACTGTTCCAGGTTCTAGCAATGAAGAGACAAAAGCTCCCTGCCCTCATGGAGCTCCTATACCAAGGGAAGAAGATAGGCACAGAAATAAATGTCATGTTAAATCAAAGTACAAGCAAAGAGGAGGGTGAACAAAGGGCAGGAGTATGTTATTTTACATAGATCAAAAAGGGGTCATCGAGACAGTGACATTTGAGGAAAAGCCTGAGGGGGATAAAAGATCCAGTCCTACAACTACCACAAGGGAATGAGTACTTCTGGCAGAAGGCACAGTCAATGACAAGCAACAAGATCCCGAGGCAGAGCATGCCTGGTATGTTCAAGAAAGAAAGGCTAACGTGACTGCAGCAGAGTGAGAAGGGAGAGGAAAGAAGTAGAATCTAGATCACTTGCAGCCTGTAGGCAGTATGAAGTCTGAGTGTTTTTGAACAGAAGACATGATTTGATTTAGATTTTTAGCCCTGGCCAGTAGCTCAGTTAGAGCATCATCCTGATGCACCAAGTTTGAGGGTTCAATTCCCAGGCAGGGCACATTAAAAAACCAACCAATGAAAGCATAAGTAAGTGAAACAAATCAAAGTCTGGTCTCCCTCCTCTCTCTTTCTCTCTCTCTCTAAAAAAAAGTTAATAAAAAAAAGATATGTACTGTATGTTGTATATATATATCAAAAAGGTTTGAAAGTATAAATACCAGATATATAATCAAAATTATTAGACAACTTAAAGTTTCTTTGTATTTTCTAATAATCTTTCAACAATGCATATGTATTCTATAGCTATTAAATAAGAATTTTAAATCTTTTTTTTTTAATATATTTTATTGATTTTTTACAGAGAGGAGGAGAGAGGGATAGAGAGCTAGAAACGTCGATGAGAGAGAAACATCAACCAGCTGCCTCTTGCACACCCCCTACCGGGGATGTGCCCGCAACCAATGTACATGCCCCTGACCGGAATCGAACCTGGGACCCTTCAGTCCGCAGACCGACGCTCTACCACTGAGCCAAACCGGTTTTGGCTAAGAATTTTAAATCTTAATATAATTTCAGTGATTACATTTTTATGTAACTAGCTGGGAATAAGCCATGACTCTATTATCTCCTTATAAACATTTCAATGCAATTTTTAATGAATTCTGGAATATCTTTGGTAATAAAAAGAAAAAGGAAACCATTAATGATAGTTCTCCTGGTATTCAAGAGAGAAATAATTCAGATAAAATATTAAGGTAATTTCTGTTCTGAACAAATCCATGTTATTGGATAATTTTGCTCCATATCCAAATAATGAGCAATGGAATTTTACTATGTATGTGAATTATCACTCACAAAAATCAGTAACTTTCTTTTATTTAAAAATAGGAAAAAATGTAAAAACAAACAAGATGGTTTTTCAGACATAATTAAGGAAAGTAACAACTGTAAATTTATTTCATCTGCAAATTTATTAAAGCAAATATAAAATTTTTCGCCCTAGTCAGAGTGTCATCCAAATTTGCAAGGTTGTAGATTTGATCCCCAGACAGGGCATAAGGATCAGCCAAGGAATGCCTAACTAAGTGGAACAACAAATGGATGTTTGAATTGATGTTTCTCTCTAAGAAACAATAAATTAAAAAACAAAATTCTTCTATTTGTAAAATTGTAGATGCCAATAAAAAATGTGTGGTTTTTTAAATTTCTGGACACTTCCTGGATCATGCATAGATGTTTACATTAATAAATGAAGAAACATTGGTCTTACATGTATCTCAAAAAAAAAAAAAAAAAAGATAACGATACTAAGTTGTTTTTTATAATCAGGTAAATATCAAAAAATTGTAGTCATAACTTTCTATCATCGCATTTTAGAAAAAATTTTTCTACAGATTGAGTAAAACAAAAATCTAAAATTTTACTACAGATAATTTTTAAGTTTCTATTTACCACATTAGTAACATGGACAACTACTACTTACAATCCTGCTCTGCTTTACCTGTCGATGTTGTGTGTTCATACAGACAATATCTGTCAAATACTGATAATATAGCTGAAGGATATTTTTATAACACAGAAACAATTTAAAGAGTACAATGGTTTTCAGAAAGACTGAACAATCATTTCCCTCCTTTGTCAATTTCACACAATATAATCCACATTTAGAACATTCTTATTTTTTTAAAGTTTGGATACCCCTTAACATAAAACCAGCTACTTAACACATTGTGCACCTGTAGTTTTATTGCTAGCTTTACCCAGTGGCCAGATAAATTTCTACTGAACGAGTACAAAAAAACATTTTATAAAATATCATACTTTAAAAAGATATTGGCTTGTAAGAACATGTAATAACTTTAAAATGCAACGGGTTTTTAATTTTAAGGTGTGCCTTTAACATTTCTGTAAAACACTGTGTAATATGAAAACACGAGAATGCTCATGATCCGCCCGCAATGTGTTGAGAACACTGAGCAGAAAAACCTTACCTTTTGTTACATATGATCAACAGATCTGCCCTTTTTCTGCTTTACAAGCAAAAATTACATTTCCACAAAATGAAATCAGTGTCGGGTTGCTTAACTTAAACTGGTGGTTAGGGCCTGATGCTATAATAAGGCTAAATCAACCACTTGGTCACTGATCCTACCAATTAACTTTCATCTACTGCAGGGTCAGAGGTAGCATCAAAATCCCTGCCGTTCAATTCTTTGGATTGCAAGGAGAGCCGGCCAAATGTGCGGCCAGGTCAGCACAAATCACTATCATCATGTCCTATTCATCAACTTTACCACAAACAGTTCATGTGAGAGCTGTCACCTGGAAGGGACACCAATAATACACCCTCTGCACCCTACGACAGATGATATGTAAGGTAAAAACGTCAAATCTTTTTCAGATGCTAAATTGAACAAACATTTTAAAATCCAAATCCATTTCTATTAATCAATATTTAGACTTTGAATTTCAAAATGCCAACACTAAATTTTGAGTCCCAATGCCGAGACAGGGTGTGTAGGTATAAAGAGACAACCATCACTGACCTCTCTCACCTCTCAGCTTTGTTCATCCAGGTCCTTTTCCCTTTATGTAACTACCGCACCTCAGAGGAACTATACCTTGAGATTACAATAGAAATTACCTTCCAAAGAGACACAAGCTTGTTTCTTCTCTTTACTCACTGATAATTAAGCACAACACAAGCAGGTGCCCGCCCTCAATTTCTCTCTGTCTTTTAACTCTTTCCAGCAGCCTCTCCTGGGGATGTGAATTCCCTGATAGCACAGCTTCTTCCAATCCTCTTCCCACCTGAAGTCCATGGAGAGGATAAGCCGACACCGCATACAGTATTCATCAGCCCACAGAGCGGCTCCTAACTGCACCGTGAAATCCTGCAGACACAGATGCCTATCAACCCGTGACACAGGCCAGGCCACAGAGCACATCTGACCACAGTTAGTGGGAAACTGAGCAACTGAACCTCTGAATCTCTCCTACCCCCCTCAGTATCGGAAAAGCACCCTACCAACAGGGACAGCTGTATTCTCTGTATGAATCTCTGACCCAGGAAAGGTGCTTGGGTCAGAGCACTAGCCATACTTGCCACTGCCTCTTTGGAGAAGAGAGCTAGGATTGAGCCTGGTTCGTTCTGCAATAAGAATATTCCCTACAAGATAATACAGAGTTCAGTGCACAGCAGGTGAAATCTCACAAGACCGTCCTTGATTCACCACCACGTGGTCCTTCCAAAATTTATGAACCTATACATTTTAACACCTTCTTCAAAAATTTAAAAAGCCTAGAGAATGCTTCCCAGTATCTGGTGTTAAAAAGGACGCCTGGAGAAATGGAGAGGCGGGCAGGGAAGAAAGACCCTCGTGTAGGAACAATTTAATATACTTCTTCCATTTCCACCTCGATCCCACGTGATTGTAAGTGGAACGGGGCGGGGGAAAAAAAAAAAAAAAAAAAAACGTGGGTAAAAACCTGTGATTCAGGAGCAGCCATCAGGAAAACAAACGATGCGTTTTAACCTGTTCTTTCAAGTAATTTTTTAAAGGATTTTTTTTGTTTGTTTGTTTAATCCACAGAATCTCTGCCTTCCCCCAGACGCAGCTGAACCCCCTCTCCCTCGCCAGCCCCCGCCCGCTGCCCCTGTCCCCGGCGCGGCCGACGGGTCCCCCTGCCAAACCAACCACGCGGGGGGATGGAACCAGGAACACCGGCCACCGCTCCTCTCCCACAGGAAAACCGATCCCTGCGCCGGCGGGATGGGGGCGGGAGGCCATCCTGCAGCCTCGCTTCTCCGCGGGGAGGGAGCGGCAGGAACTTCCAGCAAGACCACTGCTCCTCTCTGCGTGCACGGGGCGGGGGGAAGCTAGAACACCAGCACACACACACACTCACATACACACACACACATGCACACACACATGCACACAGTCACACACACACACACAGTCTCTCCGGGCATTCCCATCCATACGAAACGGAGGCCCTTCACTTGGCAACAGCATCGCTCCTTTGAAAAATTGCCCCAGAACTTGGGGGTGACCCGCCGACCCCCGACACCTCTGCCGCCCGGGGGAGCAGGGCCCTGTCACGGAGAGGAGGCCCCAGCCCGCCCTCCGCCGCCGGCGCCCACCGCGCCGCCGGGCACCGCGCGGGGGCGGCGCGGGCAGAGCGCGGAGAGGCGGGGCCGCCGCACGCCCCCGATTCCTGGCTTTGCACCGTGATTCAAAGCGACCCTTTCCCCCACCGGAGGGTCCCACCCGCCGCAGCCCGGCGGCCGCCCTCCCCCACCCGCCGCGGGCTCCGCGGGCCGCCGCCCCGCCCGGCCTCGGCCCCGCGCCCCGCGCCCCCCGCCCCCCGCCCCGGCCCGCGCCCGCACCTGGATGTAGTTGTTCTCGCAGTAGTCGGCCACCCGCTCCAGGTTCGTGTAGCTGTCGAAGAGGGCCCGGCGGCCCCCCGGGATTTCCTCCTCCAGCAGCATCTGCAGCTCCGCCATCTTCACATCCTCCTCCTCCTCCTCCTCCCCGTGCGGACCGCGGAGGCGGCGGCGGCGGCCGCTGGCGGCGCCCGGGGAGCCCACGCCTGGGAGCCGGGGAGCGGGAGCGGCGGCCGGGGCGGCAGCTCGGGAGGAGCGAGGACGCCGGCGGGAGCCGCGGGGAGGGGGCGGCGGGCCGGGGGCGGGGCGCGAGCCGCGAGCCCACGGACTCCGCCGACCGTCACCCGGGCGACTGCCGGCCGGGCGCGCGCACGCGCGCTCCTCCCCGCGCCGCGCCAGGCCTTCCCAGCTCGCCCCGCCCCCACTTCCGGCGTCTCCTAGCGACGGCCGAGCGGGAGCCGGGATGCTGGCGGGAGCGGAGCGCCGTTAACCCTTGGGCGCCCGCCGGCGGCGCGGCTCGGGAGGTGCCCTGGCGGCCTTTGTGGGCTCCGCAGCCGCGGCCAGTGGCCTGGGAGACGTCCGCCCGCAAAGCTCCCGTTTTCCTCCTCATCGCGGACCGCCTCCGTCCTCCTTGGGATGCATCACCACATCCTCGTCTCCTAACCCCGGATGTCCCGCACTCCCGCCTTCTTCGCCTCTGTCCGTCCGTCCCCCGGACCTCAGCCTTTTGTGCTGCCCTCGGACCCGCTTCCCCTGACAGCTCATCCTGGCATTTCTCTGGTTCTCCACGTCCCGTCCTCCATTTGCTGGGGGGCCCTGAGAAGGGCACCAGGTGTTAGTCCAGTGGGGTCAGACCAGGCCTGGGGTCCGCAGCCTCAGTATTTGAATCTAAATAGGGGAAATTTCTAGAGCCATAAAAGACCATTTATTAAGTCACAGAGTCGTAGAGGAATAAATTCCTAGAAGAAACGGGCTTAGGAGATAAATGACAGAGGCAAAGGAAGGGCCCTTAGAGCTTATACATGACCAAGGTCAAGACCACATGTCTGGGAATGAGGGGGGAAAGAGGAAGGAAAGGCAGGTCTGCTCCCAGGAGAGAGAGCATGCAACCCCTTCGGAAGGGTTTTAGGGGAGAACCCCGGGAAGATCTCAGCAGAATAGGCAGCAGCTTTCCAGGTGTGGCCTCCCGGGGTCTGGGTCTCCACCGACTGCTTGGTAGGCACCAGGGCTGGGTCATTAGTCAGCGCAGCTGGTCCCCAGGTCAGCCGTGGCTTGTTGCTGCTTATCTGGCTTTGTTTAAAGCTGGAGGGTCACCAGAGAGATTCACCAGAGAGCAGCAGTGACTTAAATAGCAGGTACACTTGCTTCAGGGAATAAGACACTTGAGAATAATCAAGCGAATAAAACAGAGCAAGCAAACTTTCCTTTTACTTTATGTGAATTGCGAAGAGTCTGGAATGTACCAGTGTTTCTGATTGTACATTAATACCATTAGAACTTGTATGCTGAACGCTAACTTACCTATAGCATGTATGATTTCCACAGCTGCCACTTTTTTTTTTAATAACCATCTGTTTCTTGTCAGTTTCAGTAATACTGCAAAAAGGTTACACTTGGACAAGATTGCTAACTAAACTCCATAGTGCATGGCAGTAAGTTTTACTTGTGTAGTAAGTACAAGGTTGATAAGAATAAGGCTATTCTTTGCTGTGTTCATAAACTGAATGTAAAAGGTTAACAGAAGCAAAAAAAAAAAAAATCACTATTTTCTTTGTCAAAGGAATTTTATGCAGCCTGTTGGAAAGAAAGGAGCAAAACAGAATAATTTTGATGTTTTAAAATGGCAGGGGATGCTGAATTTAACTTCACTTAAAAATACATCAGTAGGATTTCTTCCTTCCTCCTCCACAGGAATTAACAATATATTTCTCACAGACCTCTATTAGCTACTTCTATTATCTAAATGTCTACCCAGATGAATAAGTGAATGACTCATATCACTGAAATATTTCATAGGTTTTTATGATGGTATTTCAGGGGAAAATACCATTTTACTTTCCAGCAGAAAAATCTTCAGCAATTAAGATTAAAATACAGGAAAGTAAGAGTTCCCTCGGTGGAAAGGGGTTTTGATTTTTAGTGTGTTAGATGATCCCAGGGAGGCTATAATAGATCAGTTTGGGGACTAAGAGATTTAATCCAGAATTTCCCAAATTTCCTAGAACCCACCTATAAGTCCTCTGAATAAGAAAAAAAAAAAAAAACAAAAAAAAAAAAAAAAACCTCAGAACAAACTCATGGTTCTATCTAAAATTTCATCTTGGATTTGAAACCAGATCAGTCTCTGATCATGGAGAGACAAGTTGACATTTATTTTGTTGGAATCACTGTCCTATAGAATTGCCCTATTGCTTGATTTGCATTTTCCAAAATTATGTAATTCCAACAGGGCACCATGCAGATAGAAATATACCACAGTGCCAATTCTTGTGTTTAAACCATGCATCAGAAAAGATGAAAACCTGAGACAGACATAAAATGTATACACACATTAAGAAAGGTTGTCATGGCAACTTTGCTTGAAGATATGTATTTTTAAATCTAAGCAAATTAAACATTCAAAACACATTTGCATCTTCCTCAAAGGTTCTGTATCAAGAACACATATATTTTTAAATTCCCCAATTCCTTCTGAATTGACACCTTCTTGAACACTTAACAAAATTCTATAAATATAATAGCAGCATAGACTGAAGCACATATTTTCAAAAGGATATGAGAAAAATCCAAAGCGAAAGCCTAAAATGTTACTACTTCCAGAAGTCCTAAGCTTCTCCCTCTAAATTTTTAGATTGTGAGCAGGCTATCCCATATAATCTTTACAAGATTCTTTCAAACTCAAAAAATCAGTTCTCTATTAACTGATGACCTTACCAATGCAAGCAACAAATCGTGAGATTTGAACACACCAAGTGCCATTATATACTTAAACAGTTTAGCCCTAGCCGAAATCGGTTTGACTCAGTGGATAGAGCGTTGGCCTGCGGGCTGAAGGGTCCCAGGTTCGATTCTGCTCAAGGACATGTACTTTGGTTGAGGGCACATCCCCAGTAGGGGTGTGCAGGAGACAGCTGATCGATGTTTCTCTCTCATCGATGTTTCTAACTCTCTATTCCTCTCCCTTCCTCTCTGTAAAAATAAAAAATAAAAAATAAAAATTCAGCCCTAGCAGGTTTGGCTCAGTGGACAGAGTATCAGCCTGTGGACCAAAGTTCTGGTCAAGGGCACATGCCTAGGTTGAAGGATCTTCCCGGGCCAGGGCCCTCATCAGGGGCATGCAGGAGGCAACCAATCAACGTGTTTCTCTCACATCAATATTTCTCTGTCTTCCACTCTCTCTAAAATCAATAAAAAAAAATATCCTCAGGAAAGGATTAATAAAAATAAACAACTCATGCAAATGATTGTAATAAATATTGCTCTTTAACCTAGTCAAACTAATTCTAGGCTTTATTTGTTCTCCGTCTGAAAGTTCTCCAATATTCCCATTTAGCATCGATGTTAAGTTTTCCTTGATCAGCTGCCTCTTGCACGCCTCCTACTGGGGATGTGCCCGCAACCAGGTACATGCCCTTGACAGGAATCAAACCCATGACCCTTCAGTCCGCAGGTTGACGCTCTATCCACTGAACCAAACCAGTTTTGGCTAGAAGTATTTTAATATCGCTATTCGCCCTTTCTCTATAAAGAAGTGTCAACCAAATTCACGATCTACAATGACAGATGGAAACACACGTGTACAATTGGCGCCAGCAAGAGCTTTATACATAATAAACTAGCTTAATTAGACCTGCTTTCTGATTTAGCTAACTTTTCCAGTCCAGTGAAGCACCCCAACGTTTCTTTCAGGTAATTGAAAGCAACACACCAGTAAATATAAACACAACGCAGATTATTATTGTAGATCACACAGGGAGAACAAAGGGTGAAATATTTAACTCTATGTGTTTGACTATATTCTGCACAGTGAGAAAACCTGAAATCATTTTCAGGTTCCACCATTTCTTACTTCTTTTCAGTTGGGTCAAGTTTCTAAGCTTTCTAAATCTCCGTTTTTTGGATGATAAAAAAAAAAAAAATAGGATTCCACTGAGTCACCTATCTACCTATTCCAGGACTTCTGTGAGGATCAAATGAGATGAGGCACAGGAAAACGCTTCACAGACATTTGGTTAAACTGTAAAATGTTTGCACCTGGCTATAAAGCAAGTGGTGTTCCTGGGTTGAAGAAACTTTAAGAAGGCTAGTGCTAGGTAGAGAAAGTCGGGTGTTGCTAATGATGTCATTACCCAACACCCTCAGCCACTGTTTCCGGGCTGGGCTGGCCTGTGGGCTGCATTTTATGCTATGAGGTCTCAGCAGTGTGGCTTCAATTTGGTGGAATGTTGCTCCAGAGTGGTGGCCTGTGTACCACCTGGGGAAAGCCAAGTGATGCTTTGTCGGCACCAGATGCGTGATGCCGTTTCTCTGTAAAGGGCCAGTGTGCATCACGGCAGCTCCTGTGATGAGCACATCATAGCGACTGGTCACTGGTCGGATGGTTGGACATCTAGCATATTAGCCTTTTATATATATTCATACCTAATACAGGCATCTCTGAATGGTGTCCACACAACATCTTAAATGCATCCAGTAATGAGACACTTAGCATATTACAAAGTACTATCTACAGTAGAGGTAGTTTGGTTATCTGACAAACTTTCAACTATTTAGTAACTTCAATAATTTCCCCTGGCCAGGTAACTCAGTTGGTTAGAGTGTTGTCCTGATATGTCAAGGTTGTCCGTTCAATCCCTGGTCAGGGGACATACACAAATTAACCAAGGAATACATACCAGGTGTACCGGTTAATAATGCAGATTTTTTTCAATAGATGGGAGTTACACATATGTTGCTACATATACAATTTGATATGTATATTATTTTGTTGTATTGACAGCAAGTTTCAAAACTTCATATGTCAAATTTGTTAAAGGTATTAACATCATAGATAGTTTTACGTTTAAAAATATCAAATTTTATACCATAGAAAGAGCATTTGTGGAAAGTTTTAACTCATTACTTTATTTTGAAGAAAAGTGCTGCTGAAAGTTACCGTATACTTTGGGAAGCTTATGGTGACATGCTCCATCTCAAGATACTTGTGAACGCTAATTTAAATGCTTTAAGAGTGATGATTTCGATGTGAAAAACAAAGTATGTCCAGATCAACCGAAAAGTTTGAAGACCAACCATTACAAGCATTATTGGATAAAGATGTGTGTCAAACTCAAAAACAACTTGAAGAAAGATTAAATGTTGCTCAGCAAACAATTTACAATCATTTACAAAAAATGGGAAAGATTTTAAAGGAAGGAAAATGGGTGCCATATCAACTGAACAAAAGACAAATGGAAAACCAAAAGGTCATCAGCAAAATGTTGCTTCAGTGGCACAAAAATCAATCTTTTTTTGCATCAAATTGTGACTGGCAATGAAAAGTGGATTTATTTTGAGAATCCAAAATGCACAAAATCATGGGTTGATCCAGGCCAACCATCAACATTGACTGCAAGGCCAAATCACTTCAGAAAGTAGACAATGCTCTGCGTTTGATGGGATCAGGTATGTGTGGTGTATTATGAGCTTCTAAAACTTGATGAAGTCAAAACAAGCCAGAGGAAAATCATTTGGGCAAAAAATGAAAAAGGTTCCCAAGTCAAATTTATAGAAAATATGCATTTATTAACTTTTGGTCAAGAATATGTTTGTACATTTTCAGAAAACAACTCTGAGACCATGTAGATTCTGGCAACAGAGAGGAATTGGCAGGATTACTCCAACCATCAAGACAGAAGAAAAGCAGTCCATAGATGGAAAACATTGCCATACCAGCAGACAGCAGTTGTGTATCACTGCAGGTTGCCCAGGACCAAACCAGAGAGAGTCAACCTGCATTACCACCATTTGTCCACCATCCAGATCTGAAATATCATGGCTGACATATACACATAAGGAACTGTTTGATATTGAAATTGGGTCTCAAAAGAACTGTTGGCCCAGAAAAAAACTCATATGCCTTTCAGCATAACCATTATTGCTTGTCTCATTTTCGATTCTTATATTTTCAGTAGGACATGATCTCACTCATCTAGGGGAAATAGTGAACAACATAGACTGATGAACAAGAACAAACCCAGAGATAAGGAGCCATGGGTCAGACTGTTGGAACTCAAAGGGAGGGTGGGGATAAAAGGGAGAGATCAACCAAAGGACTTGTGTGCATACATATGAGCTTAACCAGTGGTCAAGGACAATAGGGGGGTGGGGGCATGAGTGGGAGGGGTGGAGGATTGGATTGGGGGGTTGAAGACAAATATGTGATACCTTAATAACGAAATTGAAAAATAAAACCTGGTGAAACCCTTAATACTGATCACTACCAACAACAAATAATCAATTTGAACCATGCTTTGATTATAAAACCAAAATGGGCCAGAAGACACAACAAAGTAATTTTGCTTCATAATGATGTACCATCACACACTTCAAACCATTTAAAGACACATTAAAAGATCTTGCCTGGGAAGTTTTAACCTACCCACTGTATTCACCAGACTTTGCTCCTTCAGATCACCACTTGTTCTGATCAATGGCACACGCACTTTCTGAGCAGTACTTTAAAAGAAGTGGAAAATTGGGTCTCTGAATGATTTGCCTCAAAACAAGAAAAGTTCTATTGGGACTGTATCCACAAATTACCCGAAAGATGGGGGAAATGTGTAGCTAGCTATGGACATTATTTTGAATAAAGCACTTTTGATGTTTATCTTGAAATTTTGTTTTCTTTGATTACAAAATTCACATTATTACCCAGTACACCGGGTAAAAAAGTGGAACAACAAATTGATGTTTCTCTCTCGTCAAAAAATAATTTTTTAAAAAATTACTTTATTCTACATGCACAGAAAACCTCAGTGGATATATTGTTCATTTATTGAAAAATATTTATTGTCTTTTTGTGACAGGCACTTTACAGTTTTATCTATGAAGTAGTTACAGTGGCGAGATAGCACATTTTCACTCACTACTATCATTTGTTAAAAATTAAAACAAGAATTTGAAGTATTTTATATGTAAATAAAGGTGTGTCTTTTAAAATTACTCAACAGGATATATTTGTGACTTATTTGCTCATGGCATTTTATCACAGGTTCTAACAGGATCCATTCCCAATCTCTAGAAAAATGGCCACAAACTGTAAACCAATTAATTGGGGAATGCTACTGTAAGAAGGAATGTCATTTTCTGCCTTTTGTTTATTGCCTCAATGTTTTACAAAATGGTTCCCAACTCAAATTTTACAATTATCCATTCATTTAGTCATAAAAATTCTATAAATCAAACACTAACTTTATTTCTATTTTAAAAGTCTATTCACCATCCCCTCCTCCAAAAAATCTATCTATTCCCTTAAGCCCTTGCAAAAAAGTAACAAAGGAAAATATTTAAAATTCATTAAGTGAAAAGTAAACCATATTGTTATAATTGCTATAGGTAAAACTATGTATGTGTAAACAGGAAAAAATTTAAATAGTTGTATGGTTGGTTGAGTTTGCAGCATTAGTTTTTTTTGTTTTTGTTTTTTTAATATATTTTCATTGATTTCAGAGAGGAATGAAGAGGGAGAGAAATAGAAACATCAATGAGAGAGAATCATTGATTGGCTGCCTCTTGCATGCCCCTGCTGGGTATTGAGCCCACAACCCAGGCATATGCCCTTGATTGGAATTGAACCTGGGACCCTTCAGTCCACAGGGCGATGCGCTATCCACCAAGCCAAACCAGATAGGCCAGATTAGCTTTTTAAAAATGATTTTAATACTGCTATTACAGTACTCATTTTCTCCTAAATTTTTTTAAAAATTAATTTATTGATTCTAGAGCAAAAGAAGTGGGGGGAGAGGGAGGGAGGGAGGAAAGAAGGGAGGGAGAGAGGAAGAGAAAGAGAGAGAGAGTGAGAGTGAGAGAAAGAGAGAGGTTTGTTGTTCACTTATTTGTGCAATCATTGGTTGCTTCTTGTTTGTGCCCTGACTGGTGTTCATCCCACAATACTGGCTTTGAGACGATGCTATAACCAACTTAGCTACCCTGCCAGGGCTTAATCATTTTCTTTAGTTATTATGAATAGAACAATATTTAAAACTATTCCTTGATTCCCTTTTAAATAACAAATACACCAGTAAACCCCACTGAAGATATTAAGATAAGATGAAGTTTAGATCTCTCACTTCATTTTTTAGCCAGTTTTCCCGTCTTCCTTTATAGTATTTCTTTTCTATATATATATTTTATTTATTTTTCACAGAGAGGAAGAGAGAGGATAGAGCTTGAAACGTCGATGAGAGAGAAACATCGACTAGCTGCTTCTTGCACACCCCCTACCGGGGATGTGCCCGCAACCGAGGTACATGCCCTTGACCAGAATCACCTGGGACCTTTCAGTCCGCAGGCCGACACTCTATCCACTGAGCCATACCAGTCTTGGCAGTATTTCTCCCAGCAGGAATGAAAAACTATTTCAGTTTGTCACGGAACCGACTGCTATGCCCTACGGACTAAATGAGATAGGTATATAACGTGTTTGGTTTGTGACAAATGCCTTCCAGTCCCCTGTTCTACTTTCAGCTTCACTGTTACTCCAAGTTTCGCCTCACTCCTTTTTATCACTGCAGGTCCCTCCCAACCTTTCCAAGCAACATTGTATGAAGCCTTTGGCTGTGCAGACTTCCTCTGGCTTCTGTAGTAACAGTACCTGCTTTGTTGTCATATCCTCCCTCCCCACTCCTCCCCTTCCACCGTAATCATTCACTGATTAGTAACTCAGGAAACGGGCAGAGGGCTAGCTTAGCAGGGGGGGGGGGGGGGGGGGGGAAGCAAAAAAAAAAAAAAAAAGAAGGCCACTGGTATCAATTTGTTGACATTATAAAAACCTGCCCTGGAAAATAACGTCCATCTCTCGCAGCTATCTTTTCACAGCTGCTGGTCGTGTCCTCAGTTTCACACGTTAGAATTGTATTTTTAAGCAGCTTTCAATCTGTCAAGATATCTTATGTTAAAAAATATTATAGGTTAACAGTGCTTTTTATGGATCTGGCGGGGGGGGGGGGGGGGGGGGATAAAGATGTCTTTAGAGAAAAATCTTAATCTGTTTGCCCAAGTCTGAAAACAATAACAAAGATGCTTAAGATTTCCTCTTAAAAGCTTTTCCTTAGGACAATAGAGTAATTTCATTTTTATGAACAACTGTTCATTTTGTTTTTAAAATCCTCACCTGAGAATATTTTTTCCATTGATTTATAGAGAAAGTGGGAGGGAGGGAGAGTGAGAGAGTCAGGGGAGAGATATTGACTGGTTGCCTCCCACCTGCACCCCTACCAGGGCTGAGGATCCTGTGACCGACCGAGGTACATGCCCTTGATCAAGAATGGGATCTGTGATCCTTTGGTCTGCGGGTCGACAATCTAACCACTGAGCAAAACCAGTTAGGGCCAACAACTGTTCATTTTATATTGTTCTATGACTAGCAACTTAGATGTACAAATATATACCTGTTATGTTAGAATGATGGAGAAGTAAGAATATTTTTTAAATTGAAAAGAAAAAAAAGGATATCTGAGAAGGGAAAGAGAAAAAAGTAAGCATGCCAAAAATCTGTGTGAAAAGAATACTAATATTCCAATTATTGGAAATGCTATTGTTCACAATATACTAAATGAAGAGAACAGTAGATATGTCCATAGAAATATGTGGATACAAAAAAGAATAGAAGGATCTATCTCATAAACTTAACACTGGCTAAATTCAAGTAGTAGGACTATCACTGACTGAGTTTGCTATTTTTGTGTTTCTGTATATCCTAAATTTTCATACAACAAACAGAAATAATCTATAATAATAAAAGGGTAATATGCTAATTACTAGTAGATCGGACATCCTTCCGGATGAAGCTGGGGCTGCAAGGGAAGTCCAGGTCCCAGGTGCCTGCTGGTGGCCAGAGCGAAACCCAAGTCCTAGGTGCCAGAGAGAAGCCAGGGGAAGGAAGGCCTACCCTTGCACGAATTTTGTGCATCGGGCCTCTGGTTCTACATAATAAAAGCCTCATATGTAAATGGACCAAACAGCAGAACAACTAACAGAAGGACTGGTTGCTATGACACGCACTGAACCACTAGGGGGGCAGGTGCTCAATGCAGGAGCTGCCCCCAGCCCACAGGCTCAGGCCAGCCAGAGGAAGGAGCTGGGGGGGCAGATGGCCCTGTCCGTCACCCCACAGAGGTAGGCAAGCAGTGGCAGTAGTAGGGCCAGTAAGTGGGCACCGCTAATGTTTTCAACAATACACTTCTGAACTATAAAAAAAGAATGCAGATCATAATCAGTGAACAAATAGTTTTAAAAAAACAAAAAGCTACAAAACTTAAGAGGCCTACTAGAGTTATGCTATTAGCCATCAGTGGCACTGTGGCTACTAAAATTTCAGTCATTTGATAAATGGCAAAATAAGAACAACAGTTAATGGACAACTTATTTTATACATGATTAACATTATTTTTCTTTTTTTAATCCTCTTGAAGATGACTTGTTTTAAGTTAGTCATGTAACTATGAATAATATGTACTTATTTAGCTGATTCTTCTAGCCTCTATTTTCCTTAATTTCAATCATTATTAGTAATTATAGGTCCTCATTTATTGGGTATATGCCAACTCCCTACTCTAGTTCAGCTGCTGTTTTTGCCTTGATCATTGATGATAAGGTCTCACTTACTTTCAATTTCCTCGTATCGCCCTACTGATTTGGCTCAGTAGATGGAGTGTTGGCCTGCAGGTGGACCCAAGGGTCCCGGGTTTGATTCTGGTCAAGGGCAGGTGCAGGAGGAAACCAATCAACGTGTTTCTCTCTCATTGAGATTTCTGTCTTTCCCCTCTCTCTACCACGCTCTCTAAAAATCAATGGAAAAATATCTTCGAGTAAAGATTGAAAAAATTTAATTTATCTTATCTAATTCTACTGACACTTGGTTTACATATC